ACAATACACAGGATTACAAAGGAAACCCATTCTACTGAAATAAAAGTGTAATACTCCTGGCCAAGTTCATGGACCCCTAGAAATCTACCTACAGATGCCAGGTTAAGAATCTTGGATTCAATGAAATCTACTACTCTAAAACAAGTTGTTTAAAGAACATTCTGCTCGTAGAATTAAAAAACTCTAAGAGCCTTTGGAGGTCATTCACTCCAACTTAGATGTGGGCCAAGAAGGTCCTCCATAACAACCCCTATAAGCAGATTCCTAGCTACAGAGAAGGAAATCATTATCTCTGGAAATAGCCCATTTCTACCTTTCGATGGGTTCTTGAACTGGAACTGAGTCACAACGGGCTTCCTTTATGTGCCTCTCACCAGCTTTTACTCTGTCTTCTGGAGGCTTCCACAAGACAATCTTTTAATATCTGAAGATAACTATCAAGTTTCCACACAGGACAGTTTTGTGGCCCCACACCCTCCCAGCTGGATCTCTTCTGCCCCAAATGCCCAAATCTGGCAGTTATTCTGCTAAGTCATTTTGAGAAACAAGGTGCTGCACATGATTTGCCAGTCAATGGGAATGGCTCTTGGTCCTTCCTAATATCTCTATGTCCTTTGCCATAATTGACGATATTTTCTTTCCACTTTCAGGTGTCAACTGTACTTGTGGGAGTGCACAACGACAAAGATCAAATACTTCAAGGAGTGGAGATAGTTTCACTGAAGGAGACTGCAACCTGGCCACCACTAAGTAAATGATTTTCCAGTGTATAGAGGGCCAAAAAACTTAGCGCTCTGGGGCCAAATCTGCTGGGCCTGTCTTAGCTAGGCTGGGCCTCAGGAGGGAGACAGACAGACAGACAGTCAATCCATCACCAGGCTCATACCTAACCCAGCCTGCACGTCCCCGGAATAGGCCAGAGAACCACTGATTACCTCCAATCAATCAATAAACATTCATTAAGTTCCTACTACCTTGCAGGCACTGTGCAAAGCATGGGGGATACAAAAAAAGCAAAAGACAGTCGAGCTGACAATCTAACGGGGGGGGGGGGGGGGGGGGGACCAAAAACAAAAAAAAAAAAGCAAAGCAAGCTATATAAAGGACAAACAGGAAATAATTAATAGAGGAAGACCCAAAAATTAAGGTGGGGTGGAGGGCAGGTTGAGGAAGGCTTCCTGTAGAAGAAGAAATCTTAGTTGGGACTTTAAGGAAGCCAGGCAGGTCGGTGGGCTGAGTGGAGAAGGGAGAACTTTCCGCACCACGAACATGAATTTAGTAGAAGGAAAACAAAAGTTTAATTTGAAAAACCCCCTCTTCCCTTTACCTCAGTCCAACTCTAGGCTAAAACCTCTCACCACACTTTTAAAATCAAGTTTTCATGATTATGATCAATTAATGAACATACATTGACTGCAACATGGAAAGTGCCACGTTAGGCAACTGTCGGAGAGAGAGACTTAGACGACGCTTTCAAGGAGTCAAATTTTTTTCCCAAAATGCTTCACCTAAATAATTTCTGACAAATGAGGTGCATGACTCATGTTCTATCTGTATGGCATCCCATCTTCAAGATATGAACTACAAAGGAGAATTCCCTCCTGAGATACTGCCCGGCCTGCCCTCCTCGATGCAGCTGCTGGGGGTGCTGCCTGCCTCCAATGCCCTCCAATCCATCCTCCATTCAGACACCAGAATGATCTTCCTGGAGAACAGATGCCACCATGTCACCCCTGACTCACCATACTCCAGAGAATCCCCACCACCTCCAGGACCAAATACAAAGTGCTCTCTTTGGCATTTGGACCCTCCACAACCTGGTCCCCCCTCCTAGAGCCCTCCCAGCTGCGCAGGGATCCCACAACACTCCACTCCCAAATCCAAACATTTCACTGGCTGCCTCCCATCCCTAGAACGTTCTCCCTCCGCATCTCGGCCTCTCGGGCATCCTTGTCCCAGCTCAAATGTCATCCTCTCTAAGAAGCCTTTCTGGATCACCTGCTGTCCGCCCTCAGGGGATTATCTCCAATTTACCCCAGTCTACGGCTTGTTTGTCCATAGCTGACTGCATGTCATCTCCCCCATTATGCTGGGAGTCCCTTGAGGGCAGGGCTTCTTTGGCCTTTCTTTGCAACCCCCATGCTTGGCACAGTGCCTGGCAAGCAGGAGGTACTCAATAAAAGTGTGCTGACTTGACTGCCAGCTTCTCCCAGGACATAGTAATGAACAAGCCCATTAACATGAGTTTCCAAATTCAGCGTTCACCTATGGAAAGAGTGCACCTTCACATGATCCTAATGAGACACTGAAGATCACACACAAGACCTGTACCCTTGTAAAGTGCGTGGTCTCTTCCCTCGGCCTTTGCAAAGACTACTGGGTCCAGGCCATCAGACCCACTCCATTAAAAGCTGATTCCCTATTTTCCAGTCAGAGCCAAACAATCCTCTTTCATGCTACAAAAAAAAAAACCATACTGCTAACAAGAATAATTGCTAATTTATATTGTGCTATGTGCCAAGCATTGTGCTAAGAACCGTTCACAAATATTATCTCATTTAGTCTTCACAACAACCCGGGGGAGGTAGGTACTATTATCATTACTGGATGGCAGGTAGGGGGCACAGTGGACAGAGTGCTGGGTCTGGAGGCTGAAAGACCCAAGTTCAAAGTCAGCCTCGTACATTTACTAGCTGTTCAATCCAAGGCAAGTCACTTCACCCTGTTTGCCTCAGTTTCCTCATGTGTAAAAGGAAGGGCTTGGACCAGATCACCACTAAGGCCTCTTCCAGCTCCACAGAGCAGTATGGCACAGTAGAAAGAGCCCTGACTTTGGCAATCGGAAGACTTGGATTCTGGTCCCAGTTCTGACACTTACTGGTTCTGTGACTATAAACAAGCCACGCCCCTTACCGTAAAGTGGAGAGGCTGGATGAGGTGGCCTCTAGCTGGAGGTGTCAGGAGGCAGTGTGGCCCCAATACCCAGCCTCCAGCCACACCTGAGCCTGCAGTCATCTAGCCGAACAGCACAAAGTGAAGGTGACCCAATCAGCCCAGGAGGGTGAGTGCAAAGCACCTCGATGACCTAAAAGCTCCCCAAGGGTGTCATTATTACATTCTTTCACTCCCCAAGCCACCCTGACTGAGCTAGCGAAACACCCCCCTCCCCACTCCTTCAGGGCCTCCCAGCCCTGGATAACCTGGCCTTTCTGGATGCTTCACTGCACGCACTCTGAGCAAGTAGCAAGGCCCAGAACAGGATGCACCGTCCCAGCCCTCTCCTGCCTCTCTCTCTTTCTTAACAGAGGAGGAAACTGAGGCCCAGAAAGGCCAAGTGCCTTCATACAAGTCACAAGCAGTAGAGTCAGGTCCTCTGACGCTCCAGCCAGGGCTCTCCTCACCACAGGCTGCCTCTCTTTCCCCCAGAGGAGCAGCAGGGTCCCCATCTGGGGAGGTCTTCAAGCAGAGGTGGCCTGGCCACTTACCAGGGGTGCTACAGTGTGACCGCTTGTCCTGTATGGGTCAGTCTGGATGTCACTGAGGTTCTCGCCAACCCTCCAAATACCTCGACTTTCCTTATCTGTATCTCTCATGGAATGAATGTTAGCTCCAGGAGGCCAGGCACTGTTCAGCGATCCAGGGGAGCAAGGCAGCAGAGGCTCAGATCTCTCGCTCTTTCCATCCCAGGGTGCTGCCTGCCACACATACCTACACCAGTATGCACATAACGTAGACACATTCACAGCACATATATATACACATCTACACTTATACACATATACTTGCATGTGGATATACATGTATACATATATATGCTTATATATGGGCAGCCAGGTGGCACAGTAGATAGAGCACCAGAGCTGAATCTAGAAGACTCCTCTTCCTGAGTTCAAATCTGTCCTCAAACACTTCCTAGCTATGTGACCCTGGGCAAGTCACTTTATCCTGTTTGCCTCAGTTTTCTCTTCTGTAAAATGAGCTGGAGAAGGAAACGGCCAACCATTCTAGTACCTCTGCCAAGAAAAGCCCCAATGGGGTCACGAAGAGTTGCACATGACTGAAATGACTTAACAATAACAACATACTTATATAAATGGACACACATTGATATACTTATGTATACAAGTTTACAAATATGTATATAAACCCATGTATAATTATATATAATTATACTGTATATACGCACCAATATACATGTATACTTACATGAGTGCAAATACACTTGCACAATACACACATATACTTAGATACACATCTATACTTATGTCCGTATACGGGTCTGTGTGTATTTGCCCAAATTAACCACCTGAGTCCAGGGACTCGTCCCATTTGACGGAAGGACATGTCACACAGATGTCACACTGGACACTGAGAGCACACCAAGAATCAACAGGACGGGACAGCAGAGGTGGCCCGGCCAGTGGACAAGAGGCAGGCGGGTCCCTCAGTCAACAAGGCCAGGCTCCAAGTCCTTCCGGGGGCAGAGGGGCAGAGGAGCTCCTCTCGGCCTTATCGATCCACGGATCTTCTTATCGATCCGCCGATCGCCTTATCGATCTGGCGTGGTTCAGACTAAAACAACCAGCACCCAGTACCTAGGACTGCGGAGTGATTTCACAACCACCCTTAGGGGCAGGTGCTGCTATAGGCCCCATTTCACAGATGAGGAAGTCGAGGACGGCGGCACAAACTCCTTGTGGTTTCCGTGGCGAACAAGCCACAATGGCCGGGTCCGAGCGTCCCACCTCGAGTTCGGGGAACCCCTTACAGTGCCCCCCCCCCCAGCCCAGGCGCAGAGCGGGTGCTTGGTTGCCCTGCAAGCCCATTTTACAGACGGGCAGGTGGGGGCTGCCCAGGACGGCCGCGCAGGGCTTCTTATCTAGGGACACGTGGCCAGCGCCCCCACGGCCCGCCCCCTAGCGGGCGGGGCTCTCTCGCTAGGGCTGTGTACACGCGAGGCGCTCAATCGGTGCTTGTTGACTGACTGACGGACGGATTACCTCGCAGTTGAACTCCATCTCCGCGTCCATAGTGACAATGCGCACGGTGAACGTCTTGGGCTGCTTCCTCTTGAGGGAGCTGAAGCTCATGCGGGACGCGATGGCCCCGGCCATGGCGAGCCCCCGGCCCCGGCCCAGCTCGGGACGGCCCCCGCCTGGCCCGGGCCCGGCTCAGCCCACAGGCCGCCCAGGCCTCAGGGCCGCCAGGGCGCCTGCGCGGAGCCGGGAGGCCTCATGGCGCCTGCGCGGAGCCGCGCGGCCTCGGGCCTCGGGTACCCGGACCCCGGACCCGGGGCCCAGGCCGGCCGCCCACCCCGCGGGGCCCGGGCGGCGGGGGCGGGCCCCTTCCGCGGCGGGCGGCGGCCGGAGGCGGGTGCTCAGGCCCTCGGGAGGCCCTGAGGCTTCGCCACGTTCCGCTCCCGGCGCTTCCGTCCCGCCTCGGAGGAACCGCGGCCGAACGGGCACGCGAGCGAGTGGAGGGGGTCGCGCGCGCGCTCCCGGGGCGCTCGGGCCCTGACCCAGTCCGCTCGGCGCGCGCCCTCCGCCCGCGGCCTCAGGCGCTGGCGGCTAACCGAGCCCAGCTCCTATTGGCTCGGCCTCCCCCTCTCCCGCCCCTGCCCGGCGGAGGCGGGGCTTCGCCGTTGGGTCCCGCCTCCTTGGGGAGGGTCGGCCAGTGGCAAGTTGGGTCTTGCCGGCGCTTCAGACCGGACTCGACGCTGAGTGGCCGAAGTGGCTGTCGCTCTGAGCGCCTTTGTTCCCTTGGTTCCTCCTCCTCCATCCAGAGCGGTGGAGAATGGCGAGACCAGGAGGGGGTGGGGCGTGGCATAGCGGAGAAAGCCTGTTGTGCCGTTGTTTCGAGTTCCTTCATCCTGCTCATGCACAGGTTATTCATTCCCCGTGGCAGCCCTGCTCTCCTTTTCCATTTTCTCCTGCCAGGGTTTTACTTCCAAAACACAGCCACCATTTAGGTAGCACCTCCGTCCTTACCACTACTACTACTACTGCTACTACTACTACTAGCATTTTTATGCACTTTTTAGGTTTTCCAGGCAGTATGGACAGTGGGCATCCTTGCTTTGCATCTGAACTTATTGGCAAGGCAAGAAGAGAAAGAGGAAGAAGAAGATGATGATGATGATGATGATTTATATAACAAGTTACAAAGTGTTTCCAATCCACTATCCCATTTGATGCTCTTATCAGTCTTCGAGAGGAATACTATTATTATCCCCATTTTATAGACAAGAAAACTGAGGGTGGAAAAGGGTAAGTGATTTACCCAGAAACGCGTATCCAGTAACTGTCTGAGGCAGGATTCGAATTTAGATCTTCATGACTGGAAGCTGAGCGCAGGCTACAGCACCACCTAACCATCTAAAGGGTCAGCATGGGTGCCACCCCCTCTGAGAAGTCTCTCCTGCCCCTACCCCTTTAATGCTCCTCTCTCGGTGGTTCTGTATTGTACTTGTGAGTAAGCGTGTTGTGTTCACATAGTAAAATGTAAGCTTCTTGAGGGTAGGGACTGTTTCTTGAGGACTCCCACCGCCCATTGTGTCTTTGCATCCCCAGCACAGCAGCTAGATGGCGTCATAGTGCACTGGAATCGGGAAGGCTTCCTGCCTTCAAATGTGGCCTCAGACACTTATTAGCTGTGTGACCCTGTACAAGTCACTTAACCCTGTTTATCTCAGTTTCCTTATCTGTAAAATGAGCCGGACAAGGAAATGGCAAGCACTTCAGTATCTTTGCCAAGAAAACCCGAAATGGGGTCATGGAGGCATGACTGAAACACTCAACAACAACACTTAATATTTCTGTTGAATTAAATTGGAGTTTGGCTCTCAATAGCCATGTGATTCTGGTCAAACCTTCTACCCCTTTTGAACCTCAGTTTCCTCATCCGTGAAATGGGGATACCAATCATGGCATCATTTACTTCACAAAGTGGTTGTGAGAAGGGAGCACTTTGTGAACCCCAGACTATAAAATGTGAGTTGTCCTTTCCCGGGGAATGCATCATAAGCATAGGGATGGTCATACAAGAATGAGATTATTTATCTGCAATTGTATTTTTGCCTCCAGCCTGCTAACTGGTCTCCCTCTAGTCACTCCATTCTCCACAAGTATTGGTCCTAAAGCACAGACCTGAGCATGTAACTACCCTGCTCAAGAAGTTCCAGTGGCAGTTGCCATTTACTTCTCCAGGCCATTTTACAGATGAGAAAACCAAGGCAAACAGGGTTAAGTGACTTACCCAGGGTCACACAGGTTGTAAATGTCTGAGGCCAAATTGGAACTCAGGCCTTCCTGACTCCAGGCTCCTTGCTCTATCCACTGTATCACCTGGATGCTTATACACACACGTATATGTGTATGTATACACACATCTTGTATGTAAATAATAATAACAGCTAACATTTTTGTAGCGGTTGAAGCAAAGCACTTTACATACATTATGTCATTTCATCATAGCTGCTGTTATTATCCCCTTTTGACTGTTGAGAAAACTGAGGCAGGCCCAGGTAAAGTGACTTGCTCGGGGTCACACAACAAGCAAGTGTCTGAGGCAAGATTTGAACTCAGGGCTTCCCAATTCCAAGTCCAACCCTCTATCTGCGATGCCACCTAATTGCCCTGGTTATTTGCATGTTAAGTGTAAGCTCCTTGAGGGCAGGGACTCTATTGCTTTTCATAGTGTCTCCAACACTTAGCCCAGTGCCTGGCAAATAGAAAGTGCCTAATAATTGCTTGTTGACTGTCTGGCTTGTCTTCTTTGGGGACAAGTTTCCTCCTCGTGACTACACGATGTTCAGTCTCTGCTCTTTGTTCTTTCCATTTATATTTTTGAAGTCATGTGCATATTGCCCTCCTGGTTTTGCTGACGTCGTTTGGTTTTATGCTGTACATCTCCCCGTTCTTAAACTTTGTCGTCTCTTCCAACTCAGCCGTATTCCATTACATCATTCATAGATAAATGTTGTCTTCGTGGAGTGGACCACAAGTTGTCTGGCCATTCTCTGTTTGATGGCCACGGTGATGGAGGGAAAGAATCGAAATAGTTGTCGTTTTTAAAGAGTGCTTTCCTCCCAAAAAGCCTGTGAGAAAGAAAATGTCCTAGAAGTGGGACTGGAAGTGACCCTGGAGGCTTTGAAGTCCATCCCTTCATTTTACAGAGGAGGAACTACATCGAAAAGAGGGATAGTAAATCTATGAAGCACCTACTGTGTGCCAGGCATTGTGCCAGGTGCCAAAGACAGTGCCTGCCCTCAAAGAGCTTACAATCTAACGGGAAAGACAACATGCAAACAAATTTATACAAAGCAAGCTATATACGAGATAAATACAGAAAGTATCAGAATTAAGAAGAGTTGGGGGGGGGGGCAGCTAGGTGGTGCAGTGGATAGAACATCGCCCCTGAAGTCAGGATAGAGCATCACCCTGAAGTCAGGAGGACCTGAGTTCAAATCCAGGCTCAGACCAAACACTTGACACTAGCTGTGTGACCCTGGGCAAGTCACTTAACCCCAATTGCCTTAAAAAAAAGAAGAAGAGGAAGAGTTGGGGAGGGCTTCCTGTAGAAGGCAGCGTTTTAGTTGGGACTTAAAGGAAATGAGGGAGGTCAGTAGTTGGAGCAGAGAGAGAGAGCGCATTCCAGGCACGGGGTGGGGCGGAACCACCAGGGAAGATGCCCAGAGCCAAGAAATGGTGGAGTATCTTGGTATAGAAAAGTCAGGAGGCCAGTGTCGCTGGATCAAGTCCAGGTATGAGGTGACGATGCCTGCACCAGGGTGGGGGCAGTGTCAGAAGAGAGAAACTTTGCAAGGTGAAATTGAAAGGTCTTGGCAACAGCTTGGATATGGGGGAGACAAGACATAGTGAGGAATCCTGGATGATTCCCAGGTGGTGAGCCTGAGACACGGGAAAGATGGACACTCTCTACAGTAACAGGGAAAGTAGGAGAGGAGCGAAGGTTTAGGGGAAAACATCATGAGTACAACTTGAGTTCACATTGAGTTTAAGGTGTCTACTGGACACCCGGTTAGAAATGTCTGAAAGGCAGTTAGAGAATTGAGGTCCACAATAGTTACATTTGAGAAGCATTGGTAAAGAGATGATAATTAAATCCATGGGAGCTGGTGAGATCACCGAGTGAAATACTATAGAGGGAGAAGAGAAGAGGGCCCAGGACAAAACCCAGAGGGACACCTCTGTTTAGAGGGCATGATCTGGCAGAGAAGCCAGCAAAGGAGACGGAGAAGGAGTGGTCAGAGAGAGAGGAGGAGAACCAGGGGAGAGTGGGTGAGTGTCCTGAAAACCTAGTGAGGAGAGTGTCAGGAGGAGTGATCACTAGTGCCAGAGACTGCAGAGAGGACTGAGAAAAGGCCATTGGATTTAGCAATGAAGGGATCCATTTCAGAGAGAGCAGTTTTGGTGCAATGATGAGGCAGGAAGCAGGAAGCTTAAGAAGCGAATGAGAAGAGAGAAAGTGGAAGCCCCTGTTATAAGACGGCCTTTTCAAGGGGCAGCTAGGTGACGAAGTGGATGGAGCTCTGGCCTTCTAGTCAGGAGGACCTGAGCTCAAATCCGGCCTCAGACACCTGACACTTACTAGCTGTGTGACCCTGGGCAAGTCACTTAACCCCGATTGCCTCACCAAAAAGCAGATTAAAAAAAAAGGCCTTTTCAAGGAGTTTAGTCACAGAACACAGAAGAGACATACAATGATAGTGAGGATGAAAGGATTAAGTAAAAGGTTTTTATGGAGGATGAGGAAGACGTGGATATGTTTATAGGCAGTAGGGAAAGAGCCAACAGACAGAAAGAGATTGAAAATAAGTGAAAGACAGCATGACTATTATGAATGTTTTGCATGACTACGCATGTATAACTTATGTGGAATTGCTTCCCTTCTCAATGGGCGAGGGTGAAGAGGGAGCACAGGAGAGAACTGGGAACTCAAAAGTTTTAAAAACAAATGTTAAAAATTGTTTTTACATGGAACTGAGAACAAAGAAAATACTAAATAAAAGCTTAAAGAAAAAAAGGGAAAGGAAAGAAGTGAAAGAGTGGGGATGACAGAGGGGGAAATTTTTTTAATAATATTTTATTTTTTCCTAATCATATGTACAGACAATTT